GGGGCGAGCCTGCCGTTCTCGGGGATGAGCAGGTATGCGTGGCCGCTCTCCAGGTGGAAGGTGTGGAACGTGAAGAACACGCCTGCCAAGAGACCCGCGGGTCAGGCTGGGGGCCCGAGACAGCCGAGGCAGCCCCGCTGGACACTTCCGACGTGCGGGCGTCCATGGCGTGTGTGACCATGCGCACGTGGGTGACACGAAGGGGCAAACCCAAATGAAGAAACCCGAGCGCCAGCACCAAAGGCTCTAGTCGGAGGACTCCTCTCTACGGCTGTCAAAGCTGAAAGGGAGACTTGCGGCCAGGCCTGCAAGAATGCTTCTCAGCTATTTGTTAACTCATTCCAGTGCGCGCATGTTTGCGGGATCCAGGGGTCGGTGCAAGGGGACAACCAGGACACTTAGCAACAGCCACGAGTGGCAAGCGGTGACAGATGCTGTCATGAGCGTGGCTCACTGCACGGAGGGCCGGAGGGAGAGTCCCAGACGCAGGAAGGGGGGCGTGAGTGGGGTGGCTTCACTAGGGAACAAACCTCTGACTTGGTCTGAAAGGGCGCCCAGGAGTTAGCCAGGCAAGAGCAGAAAGGGCGTGCCAGGCAGGGGACAAGCACGTGGAGGGCAGAGGAGCTGCGGATTCAGGGATCAGTGAGCAGCATGCATGTCTGCAACTGAGGCTGGAGAGGGAGGCTAAGTGGACCCGACCATTTCTGCAGGGCATGAACAGCCATATCCAGAGGGGCTGGACGTGTGTTAGCGAGACAGTGGCTGCGAGGACAAAGACATGGACGGCAGGGACAGAGGGGTCCACTAGGATGACGCTGCCATGCCCTGGGCTGGGCAGGAATGGATGGGAGCCCTCAGGGACGCAGGGTGGAACAGGAGTCAGCAGACACTGGATGCAGAGAAGACACGGAAGGACAGCTGGGAGCAGCAGGGTCTGCAGGATGGAGACGCCTTCACCATCAGGGGGACACGGGGGGAGAACAGGCTGGAGAAGAGTGACGCCTTAGCTCTGCACGCTGCTTTTCCAGCATCCAGCAGGGACTGGAGTGGGCAGCTGGGAGTGTAGATTTGGAAGTTCAGGATTAACAAAGGACTACAGGGGGAGATCTGGGCGACTCCAGCAAAGAGGTGATATTTGAAGCCGTGAACACGGAGAAGAGGGCTGAAGAGGGAAGGCAGAGAGTCAGAGAGGGGATGAGCAGGGACCTGGGAGAAGGAGGAGTGCTGGGGGCGATGGGCAAGGAGCAGTCAGGGTAGGAAGAGGGAGGAGAGAGTTCTACCAAGGGGAAGGGTCAAGGGTCCAGCATAAAATAAAAGCAATGCTACTCGTTAACATCGAACACTAAGGATTTGGTGTCACTGCCCTGTTTTACTTGATCTGTAGCCAGTCCCTATGAATTGGAAAGGGGAACTCACTTAATCTTGCCAGTACATGAATACGATTATTTTCTACTTGAGGAAACTGAGGCACAAAGAGATGAAGTCCTGTGTTCCGATGGTGAAGCTGGATCTGAACTGCAGCAGTCTGAGTGCAAAGGCTGTGGTCTAAACCAGCGGTCCCCAGCCTTTTAGGCACTGGGGACCTGTTTTGTGGGAGACAATTTTCCATGGACCGGGGCAGGGGAGTGCATTTTATTTGTCATGTACTTTAGTTCTATCATGATTACATTGTAATAAATAATGAATCCTACAGCTCACCATAATGCAGTATTTGCAGCTGCTCCCCAGTGCTAGCATCACTACCTCAGCTCCACCTCCAGTCATCAGGCATCAGATTCTCATAAAAAGTATACAACGTAGATCCCTCACATGCGCAGTTCACAATAGGGTTCACGCTCTTATGAGAATCTAATGCTGCTGCTCATCTCCCAGGGGCAGAGCTCAGGCGGGCAGAGCTCAGGCAGTACTGTGAGCGATGGGGAGTAGCTGGGAAAACAGATGAAGCTATGCTTGCTCACCCACTGCCCACCTACTGCTGCGCAGCCCTGTCAGTGGCCAGGGGGTTGGAGACCTCAATTCTAAACCACTCTAGGAGGCTGCCTCACAGGCTACTGAAAGAGAGGCGGTAGTGAGAATGGCCAGGGGGTGGGAGGGGCCCGATAGTGAGGAAGGATTAGGAGCCACGGGATCTTACCACCCAGAGTAGCTCTTGAGCTTGTCAGACGGCAGCTGTGCGTGGGCACCCATGCACAAGTGAGGGTGTCCAAGGAACATGTGGGCATCACCTGGGAGCTTGTTAGAAATGTAGAATCTTGGCCTTCACCACAGACCTACTGAGTCAGAGTGTGCATGCCAACTATGTCCTCAGAAGATGTGCCAGCACGGAAAGCTTGAGAAACACTTCCCCAGATAATTACTGACACACTTCTGATAAATGGTGGTTGGCTCCAAGCCCTAGTGCTACAGCATTTGCAGTGTTCGTGTTCTTGCCTCCCAGTAGACAGGAGTGATGAGCCCAGGGTAACTAGGCTTGCTGGGCAGTAGTGGAAGAGAAGACCTGGCAGAGCTGGTGGGACCAGGGAAGGGGCTTGTAAATGCCCAGTGTCCAGGCAACAGGTGCAGCAGGGTAACTGGGCTTGCTGGGTGGTAGTGGAAGAGACAGACCTGGCAGAGCTGGTGGGACCAGGGAAGGGGCTTGTAAATGCCCAGTGTCCAGGCAACAGGTGCAGCCAAGACTTCGGCGCCTGCCAAGGGCCGGGCCTAGTGCTAGGCACTGAGGAAGCTCCTGTTTTGGTGGAGGAGACCACACACGTAGTCAGGGCCTAGAGTGGGGCACGAGGGAGAGTGGGTAATTGCCTCACGGGGCCGTGGTCCTTGGCATGAGGGGGAGGAGCACGCTCAGAGACCTAGGCACGTGTGCTGTGTGTACGTGATATACTCTTGACACAAACACATGTGCAAATGGGAATCGTGTTCTCAGTCTGCCCAGCTTGGGAACTAGAGGTCCTCTCCTCCCGCTGGAATGCCAGGTTGGGCAGAGTGGGTCGGGCCCAGTCCCAGGCGGAAACAATTTGATTAAGCTCCAGCTTTGCACGCCATTCTTCAAGCATGCGGTACAGCCCCCCCAAAGGAGTAAACATTTGGCTGGGACCCTAAGGATGAGCAAACAATCCAGATAAGCCCCTGGGTTTCCCAGCTGTGCTGATTGCTTGGAGCTTTTTTGGCCACTGTGAGAAAATGAAGACATTGTCGCAGAACTGGAGACGCCCGAGTGGGAGTTGGAATCCAGATTTGGTGTGACAGACACACATACAACTGGAGGTTCTTCCGGAGTGAGCCCTACAGAACCGTAGGAAGGACATGAACACCACAGGGTGGAAGAGCAGGGTAGGGGCAAGGCACGGGCTGGGGAGATAGACACCCCGGGTCAAATCCGTTCACTAGTTGAGGGGTCTTGGCTGAGGTTGCTCGGCACCCCTGGGTCTGGGAGCCTCATCCATAATGTGTGGCTCATGCTGTCTGTCCCCCAGGGGACGCTTGTCCTCGCAGTGAGGAACGGCTGGGAGCAGGTGCAAAACACACACGGCACGCAGCATGTGCGCCGTGGCAGGTGTTCTTTTTGCTCAGCCCGGCTAGGTCCCAGATAGTCTGTGGGTTACAAGGTCAGAGCTGGGGCTGCGACAGGAGCACATTCTTGGGACTCCTGCACTGATCGGTCCCCTGGCCTAGGCAGGGGCAAATTGGGCAATTCAAAATTTCATGGCGTTTGGAGCTTCCCAAGCTGTGCTTCTGCCTGGTAGGGAGCAGCTGGAGTCAGCCTGATGGTCTGTTAGCCCCAGACACCCTCGGAGCAGAGACTGAGAGATGCCCAGAGAAGGTCTGGGCTCAGCCCAACACAATTCACATCACCAAGTCCTTCTCGAGGTACGAAGTGCCAGGCATAGAGGCGGAAGCTGGGGAAACTGTAGAAACGAGGCGGACCCATCCCTCAAAGGGCTCACAGTCCACTGGGGAGAAGAGGAGCAACATGCAAGTTCTGTGCAGCAGGGGAAAGTCCGAAACTGGGGAGGTACGGGATCAGGATCGGAGCCCACAGGACGGGGAGCCTGCAGGGCTGGGGAGAAGGAGTCAGGAAAGATCATTAGAGGAAGTGGGCTCAGAGGGGTGAAGAGCTGGCCATGTGAGGGAGAGGGAGAGATTCCCAGTGCCCTTGCCTGGGGAGAGGAAGTGTCCCAGAGGAGAGAAATCATACAAAATGTTAAAGCTCTCAAGGAGAAAGAAACTCAGGCAAGTTCTAGAAACCGAAAGAAGTTCTGTGGAGCTAGAATTTAATTTAAAGGCTCAGAATATGGCCGAGGAAGGTGAGCAAGGGCCAGAGGGCCATGGTAGCCACTTTGTAGTTTGGACTGCTAAGGTTAGGCAAAGCCTTTCATGGCGGAGTAGCTCATTCAGCTGTGTCTTCCTGGTGATCTGAGTAACGCAGGTTTCCAATGAGCACCCATGGAACAGCTGAGTGGCGCTGACTCTTAGGCAAAGACGCACACAGAAACGCACAGAGCAGCATGCACCTGCCATCGCAGGGCCTCACACAGGGGACCGTGACACAGGGGCCGCCCCTGGTGATCTCACGCGGCGGCCTCTCTTCCCCTCTGTATGCTACAGAAAAGCTCCTGGCCCTCCAACGGCCTCCTCGGACCACGCAGGGTGGAAACGGCGCTGCGGGATGAGCACGCATGCTGCCTCGGCCTCTCCCCTCCGCAGGGGCGGTGTTGCGGGGGGGAGCAGGAACGGTCCTTCAGCCTGACCCCTGGAGAGTCCTCCTTGCCCCTAGTAGCTCCAGTACAGCCTGGTCCCGGCCCATGTAGAGCACTTCAGTACATGGGCTGGACTACAAATGCCTTTTCTTTCAAATCGTCTTTCTTCTACAAATAGCATATTTATATGTAAGACATGTTTTTTGCTCAGTAAGAGAAAAAAGTCAAAGCTGGGAACATTGGACACCCAGCAGTAGTACCTTGGGGGCTGATCAGACTGCTTCCCATGCTCGTGCACGTGTATGCGCTCTATTAGCCGAGCACGCTCCTGCAGTGACCTCTCTTGCCACTTGACAAGGCAGTGCGGCCACCTCTGCAGGCCTTTACATAGCTCTTCACATTCTCTCTTCGGGTAGCTGCCTCATATTTCACTCTATGGCTGTACCACATGTTTATTAAACATTTTCCTATTCGTGGACATGCGAATCGTTTCTGATTTTTTAGTATAATACATAATATTTTAGGGGACATCCTTACAGTCACATTGTGTGTGTGAGAGAGAAAGGGTCTTGTCATTGCAAACCTCTGCCCCAGCCCCCCGGCTAGCTAGAATTATGGGAACACACTGCCGTGCTCGGCCTGTTCAGGCTGGAGCAGGGTACAAACCGGACCTCCCAGGTGGCTGGTCTTGGCAGTGGAGCCCTAGGGCTCACCCCGCGGTGGCTGCACCTGCAGCTGAAGACTGGTGTAGAGTTTCACCTACTGTCTTCAGATAAATTCCATAAAATGGAATTGCTGGGTCCAAAGCCATGTGCATTGTAAAGGCTTTTCATTCACATCACCACACTATCCTCACAGAGTCTGAACCATTTCACACAGTCAGCAGTAGAGGGTTTCATGTGTCCACACTGTCTCTGACATGTAATGAGCTTCTTTGATGACTTAAAAAGGGAAATGTATTTCATTATGCTTGTAACTGTGTATCTTTAATTACTAGTGAGGTTGAGGTTTCTAAATATGTATTTGGTCGATTATAAAATGTTAGTTTACAGTTTTGCTCACTTTGCAGGCTGGTGGGCCAGTCAGATTTCTTACAGATTTTTAAGAGGTCTGCATGCATCAGGTTGCTAACCCCTGATGATTATACATGCTGCAAATATTTCTATTTCCTATTTAACTTGGATTTTTTTTTTTTTTGGAGAGGTTTTTGCCATAGGGCGTGTGCACTTGCCAGGAAGACAGAGAGAGACAGAGACAGAAAGTGAGAAATCACCCCCAGGAGGGATGGTTACTCCGCAATCCCTTCTCTTTCATTCTCCTCTTGGGATCTTGGGCACGCATGCACATGCACCTGGCATGAGTTTAAGTCACTGGGTCCAGGACTCGAACCGCGGTTGCCTATATGGGAGTCCAGCAACATAGCCATTACACCAATTGGTGGTCCCTTTAACTCGGATTTTTATGGAGGATTTTTTTTTTTTTTTTGTGACATAAGGCCTTTGAAATTTTATTCGTTGAATCCAGCAGCCTTTGCCTTTACAAAGTCTGCTTTTGGTGTTACTCTTTAGAGTACATCTTCACCAGTGGTTAGATATTCACCTTCTTCTAGCCCTGGAATTTGTGTGGTTAAACGTACGCAGTATGGATTTTTTCTCTTTTATTCCAAATGGTTGGGACCACTGCTTTAACACTATTGACTCTGTCCTCTCTTCAACAGATCTGACGGGACACTGGAGTCATATACTAAAGCTTGTCTCTCTTGCATGCATGCGCGGATATGTGTACATACCTGCGGGTGCGTGCACGCATGTATCAGGAATCTATGCCTTTATTTGTCTACCTGCAGTCTCTTCCACTGACGTGTCTGTCCATTCCCATGGTCATATCACATTGTTAATGTTATCTTAGCCCATGTTAAAGTAACATTTTTAGTCTCTGAAAGAATTATTTATCCTTTCACATTTTTTTTGGCTCTTCTCCATGTTAGTTCTTCTAGGTCAGAGGTTCTTAGTTAACGCATGCATCAGAGTTACGGTGAAGTGTTCTCCGAACGCAGATGCCGGGTTTCCATCGCCAACATAGAAAATCAAAACCTCCAGGGTGGAGGCTAAACATTAGCACATTTGCCAAGCCGCGCGGGGGTGAAGAGCCACGACTCTAAATAGGTGAACTCGGGAATAAGCTTCGGAGGGCAGAGGCCACGTCTGCCTGGTTACCACTTGTCCTCAGCGCCAGGGTCGGGCGCACAGGTGGCATTCAGTGAGGATTGCTGAATGAGAGTCTGAGTCTATTAAGTAATGCTTGCTTGTAACCAGCATCCTGACTCTGACTTTGAGCCCCCAGAGACCACTTCCGTTAGGGAAGCTGGGGGAACCGTGCACGCTGGCGAGCTGCCCGAGGAAGACTGAGTTATAGGGACTGCCGTTTCAGTCTCTGAAGGTGGGCACGAGGAAGAGGGAGCAGAGGCGTCCTGCGTACCTCCAGGACCCAGAAAAGGAAGATGCCCTCAGAGACATAGACACTGTCCGGACGGGATAAATTACTCAGACCTAAAGTAGGGCCCGTGTGTGGACTGAGCGGCCGCCTCCCACGGAGGCCGTGTCACTCCTGGGGGCGTGGCTCAGAACAGGTCCTGCGTGGGGTGGGATTTGATGACTGGTAACTAGAAGGTCTCTTTCAGCGTGGGAATTTTAGGTTTTCAACAATATTCAGGATGTCTTCTGTGATTCTGAATAATGAGAAGGTTCTGGAAGTTTTCTTCTTGGTTGCTCACCAACAGACTAGGCCCAGAAGTCATTATATGGGCTGATCCCGTTGCGGTCACAGGACCTCGGAAACCTGAGGCCCTGACCACGTCACTTCCCAGTCCCTTCCCTGGGCCCAACGCTCACCTTTGCCATGTGAGGTCTCGATAATCCAGGTGCAGTTCAAGTTGTTGGGGTAGAAGTCAGGGAACCCTGGTGACAAGATGGTTCCACTGGAGCCTTGAATGAAGCCACCACAGAGAGCTGCAGACGGGGAAGAGGGCAGTCAAGGACCAAAGTGGGGCTCAGGAAGCAGCCCTCCCTCTAGGACGCCGCCCCCATCTTCTTTCAAAACCCAACCCTTGCGGATTGTGTGTGTGTGTGTGTGTGTGTGTGTGTGTGTGTGCATGCATGTATGTGTGGGGTCCTTACAGATTGTGTGTGGGGAGGGAGGGGTATCCTCAAGGATTGTGTGTGTGTGTGCGTGTGGTCCTCACAGATTGTGTGTGTGTGTGGGGTATCCTCACAGATTGTGTGTGCATGTGGTCCTCGCAGATTGTGTGTGTGTGTGTGTGTGTGGGGGGGTCCTTGCGGATTGTGTGCATGTGTGTGTGGGTCCTTGCAGATTGTGTGTGTGTGTGTGCGTGTGCGTACATGTGTGTGTGTGGGGTCCTTGCGGATTGTATGTGCGTGTGTGTGTGGGGGTCCTTGTGGACTGTGTGTGTGTGCGTGTGTGTGTGTGGTCCTTGCGGACTGTGTGTGTGTGGGGTCCTTGTGGACTGTGTGTGTGGGGGGTCCTTGCGGACTGTGTGTGTGTGTGTGCACGCGTGCGTGTGTGTGGGGTCCTTGCGGACTGTGTGTGTGGGGTCACGGCCCTCTGAAACTGCTCTTCCGGTGGCAGGAAAGGATTCTGCTCCTAGCGCCCCTCACAATGTATCACCTTCACAGCTGGGCAGGGCCCGGCTCCACTGGAAGTTGGGCTCACACTCCAGGGGCTCCCCGTCACTCAGCGTGTAGCCCGAGTCACAGCTGAAGGTCACCAGAGCACCCACGTAGAAGTCATTCCCATGGCGCTGCCCGTTTACGGGGATCCCTGGGTCCAGACAGTGGTCTGACTGCAGAGTTATAGCTGGAAAAGAGACCACGGCTGGGACAGACAGCTCGCCATCGCCGTAGAGGGGCCCTACGAAACTCACAAGGGGGAACCTGTACAAGGGTGCAGGTGCCAACTACGGACTCCTGAACCATGGCTGTCGGTACCTGCAGAGGACTATCTGAAGCCGTCTCAGGGAAAACAATCCTTTGTCCATTCAGTGGACATTAGCTGAGTGTCCACTATGGTCTAGGTGCTATGCTAAAGCTTAGAGCACAAACGTAAGAAAACGACCCTGTCTTCACGGTGCTCTCAACTAGAAATTTCTCTCAGTCTGCAGAGAACTGAAAAGATATCGATCCTTTAAACCAAGCGTGTGAGCACAGAAGGGGCTAAGAGACAGGGAGTGTGGGTGAGGAAGACCATTGCACCCAGCCTCACAGCTGGTCAAGCTTTGTCCCCGGATAGCCCAGCATGACGGCACCTAACCACCTGTGCCCATAAGGTGGTGTAGGTCGCAGTGGGCCCTGGCATGAGGTCATGGACCACTCTAATCTCCCCGTGGGGCACTGAGAGCGAGGGAGCCCCTTCCAAGGAGCATGGACTACCCGAGAGCAGCACAGGATGGCTGGGGCCCATGGTGGGTGCTGTCCCTGGTCTGTCCGCCCCGGGCCAACCCCACCACCTGCCTCCCAGCCCAGCCCAGACGCACTCTCGTAGCGGAGCTGGAAGCCGATGTCCGAGTGGCTCTTGTCAGTCGAGAAGAGGAGGTAGAGGTAGTTGCTGGTGCTGATGAGGAACTGGGGCACCTGGGTCCCATGGTAAGCCCCGATCAGGGGTGCTGAGTGTGCCCGTCCGTCCCGCACTTCCAGGGTGTCATAGTTGACTTCAGTCTTAAATCTGCCAATGACGGCAAGGAAGACCTCTTGAGAAACTCAAGGCTTACTCATTTGCAAATGACAGATACCCCGCCTAAGCCAAAGCGTCAGAAAAGCCAGGTCTGGGCAGGAGGGATCTCCTACACAGTTCGTACCCGCTCACCAGCAGTGTGAGGGACCTTTGCTGTGGTAAGCCTCCTCCTCCCTCTGTGCTCAGCGGACACAGCTCTCTCAGTCCTACGGCCTGGGCTGTGACCCAGACTCCTGGGGTCGAATGTCCTAGGCCAGGGGTCAATAAGCTAAAGTCCCAGGGCTGAATGCGGTGTGTGGCCTGGCTTTACACTTATAAAGGGATGTCAGAAAAACAGCGGAGAATATGCAGCGGAGAGCTGCTGGTGGACACTTGGCCCCAAGCCTGAGACGTGCATGGCTTGGCCCTGCACAGAAACGCCTGCGGCCTGCTCTTCCAGGCCGTGAGTGCTCTGTCCGGAAGCAGCCTGCATTCATATTTGAGTGGCTACTTTTCCCACCCAAGAGACAGGGAGGCTTCCCTTGTTGGAAACGCCTGGGTCATGCTCCTAAGATGCTAATACCCGGCTCTGACATCTGATAGTGCCCATCTGCCCACGCTCCCTCCTTGGGGGCTAGGGAGAGGGAGGGCTCAGACACCCTAAGGGATGCCAGCTTTCTCCTCCCTGCTGGGGCCATAGTCTCCCAGCACAGAACGAGCCCAAGGGCGAAGCCAGTGAGGCCTGTGCCCAGCAGGGCAGCGTGCTGCAGTGTGGCCATCTCGGCATGGGTGCCGGCCTCGCACCACTCCGGATCCCTCCCACACAGCCCCGGCCCCCGAGCTGCGGTTACCAGCACCTGTCGAAGGTGATTTTGATGGGGTAGCCCGGCTGGGCTTCGATCACCCAAGCACAGCTCAAGGCGTCCTTGTAGAAGCCGGGCCAGCCTGGAGAGAGGATGGTGCCACTGGGCGCAGTCAGATGGCCACCACAGGGAGCTGGGGGGTGAGGGGAGGGGACAGACAAACAGACAAATGAAATACCCCTCCATAAAATGTGTAAGCTAACAGATATTGTTTTTGTTTTTATGGAAAATTACATAAACTCCAAACTGCGAGTTCTGTCTACTGGGACCTTTATGAAATACATCCAGTTACATCATTTGGAGTTTTATTAAAGCCCAGAGGAAAGAAATGACAAGAATCTTTAAACAAAGTCCTTTTTTCATTCCAGAAGGGCTGGAGTACAGCTAATACTTGGTCACACTGGCGTTTTCTTTGTTTCTCCGTCGTGGTCAGGCCTGAGGCAGACGCACAGCCCGGGACCTCCTCAGACCCAGTTCCCTGCGGTGGGCAGAACCCCGAGGCTCAGCTCAGGCACCGGCACGCCTGCCCCACTGGAAGCCCGCAGCGGAGTGCGCTTCTTACACAGCTGGGTAGCCAGCACTGAGCACAGCCGGGCGGTGGTCGTCCTCAGCGTCGGCTGGGCCAGCGCGATGGACGGAGGAGGCGCGGCTGCGGCCCACGGGCACTGTTGGTCTGGGTGTGCCTCCTGGCTGTCTCTGCTCTTGCGAAGCTCAGGCCCCTGCTTCTCCTTGGCTCTCTTTCTTCCCGTCACTCAGCCTCCCGGATCCCGACTGCCTCATTCCCACCACTCCTGCCTCCTCCTGCAGCCAGGCCTGGCCCTGTGGTGGTAGTGGGCGCTCTGCCAGTGCTCCTCCATCAGGCTGGAAAGGAACCACTGTCTCCCTTGGACCGTTTTACGACGGAGCTCCCAGACGTCAGGAAGACCTGGAACAGGACTGTCAGCGTCGGCTGGGCCAGCGCGATGGACGGAGGAGGCGCGGCTGCGGCCCACGGGCACTGTTGGTCTGGGTGTGCCTCCTGGCTGTCTCTGCTCTTGCGAAGCTCAGGCCCCTGCTTCTCCTTGGCTCTCTTTCTTCCCGTCACTCAGCCTCCCGGATCCCGACTGCCTCATTCCCACCACTCCTGCCTCCTCCTGCAGCCAGGCCTGGCCCTGTGGTGGTAGTGGGCGCTCTGCCAGTGCTCCTCCATCAGGCTGGAAAGGAACCACTGTCTCCCTTGGACCGTTTTACGACGGAGCTCCCAGACGTCAGGAAGACCTGGAACAGGACTGGGGCGGGGGGAAGGAGCTCACAGCACCTCTCTCTGCAAGACTGTGCGTGTTTCCAGGTGGTCAGTTTTGTAAAATAGAGCCCAATGTCCCCTACCCTTCTCTCAGTCCACAGCTTCTGGGATTCTGTAACACGGCTGTCCAGTAGGACACTGCGCTAGGAAGCTTACTGAACAGACAACAGTGACCAGGGCAGTGGTACTGTCACACTGACGACTGCCCGTGCCAATCGCCTTGCATGCACTGTCTCATCTAAGTTCACACAGTTACCGAGTTGTCATCCCATTTTTCAGAGGAGGAAACTAGCGACACATAGGTTAAGGGACGAGAGCAGGACAGGGAGATGATGAAGGGCACCTACGCCGACCTCTGTCTCCAAGTCCCCTGCAGCACCTCACAGCGCGACCACCACGTGGACAACACGAAGCTCCTGTGTACTGAGTTGACTTCGTGTCAGCGTTACTGTAGACTACCCTTGTGATAACGGCAACAGTAAAAGGTACATTTTATTATCATCCTTATTTTATAGGAGGGGATTATGACCCCATTTTCAGTAAATTGAGGTAGAGAGAAACTTAGTAATTACAGAATGCCGAAATTGAACACAGAGAGTACACTGCAAATGCGCACTGTCACCTCCTGGATAACCCATCCACCCGTCTCACTGCAGCGATCCCCTCTATCCCTCCACTGGGACGTGAGACCGCGACTCCTTGGAGGTGGGGAGGGCCACGCATGTGGCTATGTCACGGGGTCTCCGAGTGCCCACAGATGCCGAGTCTCGGCAGTGGGTAGGGCTGTTGTGTGGCTTCAGTTCAGCACAGGCTTAGCCGCTCTGGCTCCTGGACTGCGAGGTCCTCATTCACCTTCCAGGAAGCCATGGGTCACACGGTCACTGTGGCCACCCTGCTGCTCTCCACTCCGCACACATCAACAGAACTCCATCTGAGCTCTCCAGAGAGGGAGCTCTGCTCCTTCCTTGGCGGTCACGTTTTGCCCTCTCCTCTGCCCTGGTGCTTCATCGCTTCGGCCTGCTAATCTTTCCTCGCACTCACGTAATGGTCACGACCCCGTTATTCATTCCGCCCTTCACTCTCTGTGGTTCAGCTTCTTAGTCCAGGGTGGTAGTTGCCTGGGAGGGAATTAGAGGGAAGGCTTCCTAAGTGTAATTCCTCTTTCATATCTGCAAAGATGCTCAACCTCACTTTTTTTTTTTTTGGAGTGGTTTCTGCTATAGGGTGCATGTGCTTGCCAGAAAGACAGAGAGAGACAGAAAGACAGAAAGCGAGAAATCACCTTCCCCCGGCAAAAACAAAAAATCCCCCCCCCCGGGGGGGGGGATGGCCATGCCGCAATCTCTTCTCCTCCATTCTCCTCTTGGGATCTTGGGCACGCACGCACATGTACTCGGTATGAGTTTAAGCCACCGGGTCTGGGACTTGAACCATGGCTGACTACATGGGAGTCCAGTGACATAGCCATTATGCTTACTGCTGGTCCCAACTCAACTTCACTCTTAATAAGAGAAACACACATTACAACTACACTGAGATATTATTTCCCATCTATCAGATAGGCAAAGGCCAAAGTTGGATGACACACGTGGCTGTAAGAGACCAGGAATTCGAGTCTCCAGCTGGTGGAAATGAAAAATGGCACAGCCCCTCCGTAGAGGAACTGGTCACGTTTAGCGAAATCCACGAGCATTTACTCTCTGGCCCAGCGACTCTACTTGTGCAGCTCTACCCCAGAGTCACACTCAGAGAGACGTGGGCAAACATGTATGTGCAAGGTTACAGGAGGCGGCACTGTTCCCAACAGCAAAGCAATGCAGCTAGGCCAGATGTGCGGCAGCAGGACCTGACCCAACCAGCAGGGTAAGTGATAAAAAGGTCCGCCCTGCGGCTCTCAGAGAACGGGAGACA